ACACATACACACTGCATATCAAGAACCATTCATTCAACTATTTGTTGAGTGAGTATGTTGAATTAACGAGACATATAAAAAGCGTTTTTGTTGGCAAGAGATAGAGAGAGAGGGAGAGAGAGAGAGAAAAAAAAAGAGAGGGGGAGAGAGAGGGGAGAGAGAGAGAAAAGAAAAAGAAAAAAGAAACGCTGAAATACAGAAACATCTCTACTATTGGCTAGTGGGAAAAAAATGACGTCACATTAAAAGAGAGAAAAGAGAGAGAGAGAGTGGAAAATGAAAGAAAGAGAGAGAAAAAGAAAAATAAAGAGAAAAGGCTAGAGTGACTCTTTAAAATGTTTTGTTTGCTAGCTTCTATGACGTTGGGGACATGTTTTACAAAAATGTTCCATAAAACGTTTCAAACTAAATTCTTCTATGAAAAAATTGAACCTGGTGTCGAAGCGTTGAAAAAAATATGACACATTTTTGTCAACAAACGAAAAAAGAAATGAAAAATAAATGTTGTTATTATTTATTTGTTTATTTTTGTTTTATTTTTTAGGTTTTTATTGCTCTAATGTATGGAACCAAAATTCTAGCACACGCGTGCACGCAAACACAAATGCACTCTCACACGCACTTCAGCCTGTGAATGAATGAGTAAACGAATGAATAACAGAATGATTGTCAAGGTTTCTCTTTGAATGACAGTCAGTGAGGAGATGATAGTCAGGGTTTCTTCTTGCTTTCGAACCAGGTCACACAGCAACTGCTTCTAAGACAGTTTGCAAAATAAGATAAAGAAATCGTTGGTATTGTCATAATCATTGTCATCTTTATCATCATCATTTTGGAAGCATCATCATCATCATCGTCATTATGTTAATGATGACAATCATGATGACGATGAAATGAGTTATATCTATCGATGATGATGACGACGACGACGACGATGATGATGATGATGATGACGACAATGATGATGATGATGTCAAGGCCATATATGATGGAAACATCTGATAGAACAATGAAATATTTTTAAATAAAGCAAGTAAATTTATGGATGAATGAATGAATGAATGAATGAATGAATAAATGAATGAATGAATGAATGAATGAATGAATGAATGAATGAATGAATGAATGAATGAATGAATGAATGAATGAATGAATGAATGAATGAATGAATGAATGAATGAATGAATGAATGAATGAATGAATGAATGAATGAATGAATGAATGAACGATCGAACGAACGAACGAACGAAGAATAAATGAATGAACAAACGAACAA